TGATTTGTAGAAATTTAAAAGAGAAAATTTATAGAAACTTAAAATATATGAACAAATAGAATAGAGTTGAAAATAATAATAATAATAATAATATAAATTAATTAATTAATTAAATAAAAATTTTACCTCTTTATAATTTTTATTAATTATTTCGTTATAGTTATCGTTTTTATTTTTACTTATTTTTTATTATTTAAGGTTTTTTCTTGGCTTGTTTGTCAGGCAAACGGGTTAGAATTTTTTTTATTGATCTATAGTTGAAAATAAACCCCTTAAATCTAATGGTTCTTATTCGTAGCCTTAGATCAAGGTTAGCCTTACTCTAGAATTTGCCAAAAGTGTTATTAAGTAGTAAAATATATTAACTGTCATTTATTTGCATAAAAATTATTTTAAAATATCAAAGTAATTAACCAATCATATAGATTTGTTGGCATACCATAACTTGGGTGTTATGATTATATAATATAAAAGTTGTCATACATCTAAAGCAGTCTACCAAGTAACTGCTGCATTCATTCTCATGATATCATCACTCTTTTTCTTCTTCCCTGCTGTGTTTTCTCTTCTTTCTGTTAACAAGAAGCAGTTACTAAAATCTATAACTTGCAAAGAAAATATATGGTCATATTTGTTGTGTCATGTATGTAGGCGATTACTTTTTTGTTCAACATACACAGGTAAAAAGGGACTCCTCTCCAGTGAGACTTACAATGTATTAACATAATCTTGGTTGCTCAAACGTGTCGATAACTCATCTGCTGTGCTGTGTAACAGCGTTTACACATGTAATTGGTGTTTTTACCAGTCTTGTAATTCATAGTGTATTTCACTTTCACACAACTTCAACAATGGTACCTGGAGAACCATCTGGACATAGGTGACCAGCTGATATCTGTCAGGTTACAAGATGGTGCAGCTCTCTTGATTCCTGAACAAGTGAGATCAATGGCAAGTCACTCAAGGAAACACACAACTCCATTTTGTCGATGGAAAGAAGATACGGTACGTACCTTTTTCTGGGTTCGTAACTGCTCAAAACTTGCTCAAATTTAAGCCACATCAGACCTGTCTCCTGAAGATTTACATTCTTTGGTCCAGCAAGGTAAGCCTGAACCACAAATTGTGGAGTTCTTTCCCTGTGTTTGGCATCAGCAAAGAGGCCACAACTTTGTAAGGCTAGAATAAGTCACAGCTACATTAAACATTATTGTTGCGAATTAGCCTACCTCCCTTCATACTCTGATAACCAAGCAAAATATGCCGTGCCGAAATACATGGACACAAATGGTTTGGTCAAATCTTCCACATAATCAACTCGATAAGCCCTGTAGCCCACCTCTCTTCACATGAAATTAATTACAAGTTTCAGACATATGTGATCATTGCTATAAAAGTGTTGGGGACAAGTTTGCGACATTTAGAATGTGCGAAAGAAAGGGGCCGGGGAAACAAAGAAAGCTATTTTCATCTCAAAAGCCAATAGTTGTGTGTAAATCATTTCTTTTAGATTATAGTTAATGTATTGCCATTCTTAGTGCAAATTAAATCTCATAATGCCTCCAGGTTGCATGAAATAACTACCATTTGAACCCAAGGCCACACAAGGAGCTAATTTAATTGAATTTTCTCTAGGTAAAAGAGAGGTACACATTGAATTTAAGTTCTTTTCATGCATTTTGCTTATGGCAAAGAAATTCAGTTTCAGTTAAAATTTCACTCACGTGTAAAGCCAGAAAGCAGTAGAGTAGTCAATTCCCATTATTCCAGCTCGTGCTTCAATCCCATCTACAAAGCGCATGCTAACCATCTCAGCCAGAGCACAAAGTACTGTCTGCACAAAATATAAGTGTCAGAATAAAAGTTAGACAGCAGCACAAACATAAAAACAAAGAGAGAGATATATAGCTAAGTGCATAACACATGAAAGTTTAGTGGCGTTTATATGTATTTAAGAAAACTCGAAGAAAATAAACATCAATCTCAAACTAGTTAGGAGTCAACAGCATGAAACCAATTACACCATTCAACCTGATCAAGGCTCTAGGCTATAGATTTCCAAAAAGTATACAGATTGCCAACTCCTTTTTCCTGCATCAGTCCATGTAAACTTTAGTTGTCTCTGATTTCATTTCTCCTACTTGTATCCATTCAAATTGGCATTCCACTGCATCAGAAGGTCTATGTTCTACATGTCCAAACATCTTAGTCATTCCTTCTTTTAGTATATTGATACTTGAAATGGTAGAACATTTGACAGTCTTCAGAATTTGTCCCCTTTTCAAGTGCATATCTGGTTGCATAAGCATTATTTCATCACCTACATTGTACCAGGTACATCTTTTCAGGTATAATTATTGTCATTCAATCACTCTTTAGCCCATGCCTCTGCTCAGCAAGTACAACCCGAGGCAAATCACTGAGCTCAATTCCACAACTACTAGGTCAAACCTGAGAAGCAATTGCCAGTGATCTTGAACAAAAAATATAATTTTGTTAACATATGAAACTTCCGATTGCGATCACATCAAGACAAAGAAGAGATAATTAAACAGCTTCACATTCATAATATTTCATTCTGTATACTAGATACCCTCACGTTTCATGTAGGTTTAATCAGAAGAATCAATAATCTTACACAGAAAATCATGTTGCAATGAAGAAATCACCAAGAAAGAACAGCTATGTAATAATACAAAGAAAGGGAAGGAACTTTAAAAATTTGATGGCTCTGAAATAAATAATAAAGAGAATATTTTCACAAAAAGAAGAAGAGAAAAGGAGATTGGAGCAAACTTAAAACATTAAACCACTCATTCCAGTTTGTGCATGAATAGATACATCTCTAGATTGCATTTAGGGTAAACACAGCCTTAGGATGCCAAGTGACCAAAACAGCAAAGGAATGAAAAAAAAAAAACCTTAAGATGCACGAATGATGTGTTTGGTGCATAGCATGGGGCCAGGACAGGATAATTTTTATCCAATACCACATTTGATGCTCCTTGTAAATGGAGGATAAGATTATCAATTGGGTTTCCCATACAATGTGGCCCAGGAGAAGCTATCCTCTTTATTCAATGAAGTCCAGTGCACTAAATGCACCATAAAATTATATGCAGTGGATGAAAAGAGGGAATGTGGAGATGATATAAAGAGAGCAGCATATGCATATATGACTTAGGAAGAGAAAAAGGAGAGAGGAAATATTTGTTGTATTCGAGATATGACTAACATGAATATTCAAACCTTTCCATGTAGGATATTAATTAGGAAGCGTATTTGTGTATTAAGTTTTTAATATAGAAGCACCACCAGTCCATTAAAATCCCAGCTATTCAGAGTTCATTTTGCTAAGCAAACCATTTTATTATAAAGAGAAATTTATTGATATCACACCCTTTTTGTTGGTGAAAACATACCCAATTGCCTATAATATAGCACTATGCACTTACAAAACTATTCTTATCTTTTCTTCTTATTTTTGGAGACATCAAAAGCATGTTTGGAGTCACAAATTCTAGGCCTAAAGTGTGTGCTAACACTCTTGCCTTTGAGTATACTTTAATTAAGTTGGTATAGCAGATGAGACATGGTAAAAAGTCCAATATTTTGAGTGGAACAGTCATTCTAGAGAGAAAATGTAAATTGTTAGCTGCATGGAAACTTTTCAATTTCCTATCCTGCCAACTTTTTTTATCCAACTCTGTACTTACAGGTTTGATTCCCCTTGTACTGAAGTACTTGGAAACAATTATTTCTGCAATTGCCTGCAACAGAAGATCCATATCAAAGTATTTGAAAAATGACACTTTAGCTTTGTGATGATAAAGATAAAATGCAAAGTGAAAGAACACTCCTGGCCGTATTAAAGAAAGCAACATTTTTGTTAGACGCATATAGACCTGTTGATTAATAATTATAAAACTAGTTTAATGGAATAACATAGTCACCTGATGATTCTGTTTTCCATGTTTAAATTGCAGTCCAAATTAAGTCTATATTATCATGTACTTTTCTTATATTATCAGCATGATAAGAAACTTTTCGGGAGTGTAAGGCTCCTTGTGAGGGTGCGAGTGCACTCTTTCCTAGGTACGACTGCCTGCTTAAACAACCCTAGGTGTTACCCTTGCTCTTTCTTCTCCTTCCATTAATTTGTCACATTTCATCCTAAAAAAGGTTTTACACAGTTAGCACTTGCAAAAGCCTACAAGCCTTAATTAGTTCCATAGTTTTTACATTGATTTTAAATACACCCCTGCAGCATTAAAAGCTACTTCATACTTAGCAGCCAAAACATTTCACCACTTAAGATATCTAGGAATGAAACAGCCTCTAAACCAAGCCTTGAACCAATTTGTATTAGAAGTATAATTCAACTTCAGTTCCTAAATTCTTACCCCGGATTTTACTTACAGTGTTGAACCTTACGGTCCTGCATCATTTGCACTTCAGCATAAGAAAATAATAACTTATACAGAATTTCTTACACTGGAAAGCTAATGATCTTTAAATGTCAAAAAAAGAAAGGAAATATGTATTCTGAAACTATGATGGAAACTACTAAAGTTGACAGGATATTAATTTTCTGTAGATTCATACCTTCAGTTCTATTCGAGAAAGATATGGTTTCTTCTCTTTATCATAGGAAAAGCGCACTTTTCCCCTTCTTTCTTTAGATTTGGTCCACTCCTTGGAGACTTCAGGATGATTCCACATCTGTTCCATGTCTTCAGAGGAAACTCTAACGTCCCAATATAGGCCAACCCCTGAAGCTCACCATTAAGGAAACAGGCATATCATCTATGGTTACAATATAGAGCTGCACTACAAATAGGTAGAAAATAATATTCCAAAAGGGCAATGATCAATTGACCCCAGATTTTATGTGCTCCATTTTTCACCAAATCAACTGTCATTTTTAGTAGATTATCAATACATGTTATTATTGTTCATTTTAAAATTGACTGGATAATTGCTATTTCACTGCTTTAGTTGTTTAAATTAAACTTTCACTTCCTGCAACACAAAGAGATTAATATATAAAGGTTAATTTCTGAAAAGAGAAACCACAGAGGTAGCCTCAATTTGTCTTAATTTATTTCAAATTATGGCAGCTTATTTTGGATTATGCTTAGCTTTCTTAAGAAGATCAACATGAATAGATATGAACTAAATTGGTGAAGCCTTTGATCTAGCAGCACCAAAATATTTTCTGTTACTCAAGTTGATGAAACTAAAATTTCATTTATGAGATACACTGATAGTATACTGACTAAAAATAGCTTCATATAACCCCAAGTATATGAGAAAGGATGAACCTGAGCATGGTGAGACTGGTGAAACTGGTGAAGTTGGTGAAGTTGGTGCTTGAGTAGGCGAAGGACCATCAAAATGTTTTCTGCAGAGGAAAGAGAAATGGAAATCAATTTCAATGCTGATTTGTTTGTTCTATTAACATACCCTTTCACTTTTCACTACTAAAAATCTGCTTCAGAAGATAGCATAGCTTCAATTGGGGCAAAGTTTATGTGCTCTTTATTAATGAAACATTTTAAGTCAACTACTTGAGCAGTCCATCTACTTTTGAAAACTTTCATACTCAACTGAAAACTTTCATGAGGGAGTATTAAAACCTGGATACAAAACTTTCTTTCACTGAAAGATAACGCTTCCAATATGGCAGGGTTGATTTATGACTTGCTTTTTTTGTACCACCCCTATATGCCCTCACGATAAACTCTTCAGTTCTATCTCTGCAATTCAACACCAATGAGAGACAAAACACCACATTATTCAATGACCTGATAACAAATATGTGATATAATCCAAATGGATTCAAAGTCTTCACTGTTAACTCACTCGTCATCGAATT